CTGTCTATTAATCCATCCATCCATCCATCCATCCATCTATCTATCTATCTATCTGTCTATCTGTCGACCTCTCTATCTGTGGCGCAGTGTCATTCAGTGTAATGTAGTGTAGGGTAATGTAGGTTAGTGTAGTCGAGTGTAGTGGAATGTAGTGTAGTGTAGTGTAATGTAGTGTGGTGTAGTGTAATTTAGTGTAGTGGAGTGTAGTGGAGTGTAGTTGTGTATTCGTAGTTGTAGTTGTAGTGTAGCGGAGTGTAATGTAATGTAGTGAAGTGTAGTGGAAGGTAGTGTAGTGTAATGTAATGTAGTGTAGTGGAGTGTAGTGTAGTGTAATGTAGTGTAGTTGTGTAGTTGTAGTTGTAGTGGAGTGTAGTATAATGTAGTGAAGTCTAGTGGAAGGTAGTGTAGTGTAGTTTAATGTAGTGTAGTGTAGTGGAGTGTAGTGTAGTGTAACGTAGTGTAGTGTGATTTAGTGTAGTGGAGTGTAGTGGAGTGTAGTGGAGTGTAGTGAAGTGTAGTGGAGTGTAGTTGTGCAGTTGCAGTTGTAGTGCTGTGTAATGTAGTGTAATTAGTGTAATGCAGTGTAGTGGAGTGTAGTGTAGTGTAATGTAGTGTAGTGAAGCGAAACGACATCTGAACCTCCAAAAGTGCCGCGAACATGTGGTGTTTTGCACATTTTCACTTCGACATGTGCTTCGCGCCGCAACGACGTGCACTTTTTCCACATCGGAACTTCCAAAAGTGGCGCGAACACGTGGTGTTTTGTACATTTTCACTTCGAAATGTGCTTCGCGCCACAACGGTGTGCACTTTTCCCACATCGGAACTTCCAAAAGTGGTCCGAACCTGGTGTGTTTTGTACATTTTGACTTCTAAATTTGCTGCGCGCCACAACGGCGTGCACTTTTTCGACATCTCAACTGCCAAAAGCGGTCCGCACCCGATGTGTGTTTTGCACATTTTGACTTGCAAATGTGCTTCGCGCCACAACTGCGTGCACTTTTTCGACATCTCAACTGCCAAAAGTGGTCCGCACCTTACATTTTGACTTGGAAATGTGCTTCGCGCCACAACGGCGTGCAATTGTTCATCTCTCATCTGGCCAGCTGGCTCCGCACCCGCCGCTTTAGCGAGCCTACTTTTCGACCCTCCGGAGCCCCAAATCATTGGAAAAACACAGTGTTTCGCGACTTTCCTACCTTTTCTCGCATCTGCATCTTTTTTCTTCTAATCTTTCTCTTCTCTCTGCCTCTTCCCTGCTCTGCTTTTCACCTGTCCATATTGTCGGAAGTTTGACTTCTAAACTTCCTTCGATCATATGTATAATTGCTAATATATATTATATCGAATATATTTAATATTTATGATAATATATATATATTTAAATAGTATATATCATATAATATATATATAATATACATCATATATATAATATTTAAAAATATTATATATATATAAATAAATAAATAAATATATATCATATTATTTTTTAATATATAATATATTTAATTTATATGATATATACAATATATATGATATTTACAAAATACAAAATATATATATGATATGTATATATATATATATATATATCTAGCATTTAATTTTTATGATATATATATAATATTTTTTATTTAAAATATAATCTATGATATATACAATATATATATATAGTTATTTTACTTTAAACGATATATATTTTTTATATTATGATATATATATTTCATATTTTTCAACATTTAATATATAATTTAATTTTCATCATTTAATTTATTTATTTAATTTATAATAAAATATATCATATATATTTTTTGTCTATATAATATAAATGTAGTATTAATCTCAATTATATTTTCAAAATGATATGTACAATATATATTATATTTATAAAAATAGAATATATAATCTATATATAGAATATATATATATACGAAATATGTAATTTATTCAGTATTAATAATTTATATAATTTGAAAAATATACAATATATCCAATATTTTGATTTTGATATGTAAAAAAATATTTAGAATATATTTAGTATATATCTTTTTTAAAAAATAATATATATATATATATATTTTATTATATACATTATATATATATTTGAAAGTATTTATAATATATTTCATTTCTTCATAATACATACAATAATTATGATATACATATATATATATACTGTATATAATATATTTTTGAAGAATATATAACTATTTTTCAGAAATATATATATTTAATATATACAATATTCATCATATATAATTTTTTATATTTATAATATATGCAATTTTTCAAACATATATGATATATATATATGAATATTGAAACTATATGAATATATACAATATTTGTATTTTTTATAATATATATATATTATATAATGTAAAATAATATATATATATATAATTTATATAATATATATAATAAATAAATATTTATAATATGTTTAAACTTTATAATATATATATACAATACAATATATATATTTCATTTATGATGTAAAATATAAAAAATATATAGTATTTTTAATAGTGTATGTTATTTTGAATATATTTCATAGATATAGTATATATAGTATATTTAATATATTTAATTTATATAATATGTAAATATATATATATAATTTCATTTTTTTATTCAATATATAATACAAATAATATTTATAATATAAGAATATATATATATAATATTTAGTGTATATATATTATTTTTAATATATGTAATTTATATATATTTAGTATATATAGTATTTATAATATATTTAATATATATAGTATTATATATAGTATTATATTTTTTCATATTGTAATTTATATAATGGAATATTTGCATTTAATTTAATTTAATATAATATCATTTAGTTTAACTTATTATGATATAATATAATATAATATAATATACTACAATATAATATAATTTAATCTAATATAATATAATTTAATATAATATAATATAATTTAATTTAATATGATATAATATATAGTACAACGTATTAAATCAAAATAGGCATATAGACACTCAGAGGGATGGATCACACATAGACAGGCTGGCAGATAAATAAAGACATCGAGAGATGGAGAGAGGGAGAGAACGAGAGAGAGAGAGAGAGGGAGAGAGAGTGAGAGAGAGAGAGAGAGAGAGAGAGACAAAGAGAGACAGAGAAGGAGACATAGAGAGAGAGAGAGAGGGAGAGGGAGAGGGAGAGAGGGAGAGGGAGAGGGAGAGGGAGAGAGAGGGAGAGAGACTCAGAGCCTTAATCACCCTTCGGTCCATCAGTGGGGTCGCTCTGCCATCCATGCATCACAACAACCCACCTCTCCTATAGGGTTCCTATCTTTGAAACTTCCGTCACACTATGGTAGTTATTTCATTCTGATTGAGGCTGCCCATATCTTGAGTCTTGACACAGCAAGGAAGATCCCTTGATGCTCCTGTTCTTACATCGGAGTGTGTGAGATGGAGTCGACCTTGGTAGGGTGTATTTTACAGTTGTTTCATCCGAAACGTGAAATCGACTAACCAACCACAATGCTAGAAGAGAAGCTGTTGCATTTTTTGCGGGGTATGTAAGATTAATTCGCGGTCTCAAACTGCATCATATCACCGCTCCATCATGGGGCACGACACCTGTCTCTCAACCTTGGGAGGTGTTGCCAAGCCAATGGCGCTTTTTGGTTTCCCAAAGTCTTCACCAAAATTCGGCCACGCGCAGCAGCCGTGCCGGGGTGCACTGAGGAGGGGTGGCTGAGCATAGTATAGTCCCTTTCAGTTTTGACGCGCGTAGCAAGGCGAGCACATCTAAGAGTGGTGGCCATGGATGGCTGGGGATTCCATACAAAGGAGAAAAGGTCAGGACGTATTTGCTATATTCAAACCACGGTTGATTTTCCGATCACCAATCGATTCATAGGGGCTCCCATTGTGCTGGATGGCCAAAAAGAATGTACCATCGTTTGGCCATGGCACATATGGGGATAGATTATACATATTTATATGTTATTTTTCCAATATTTACCATACTTAGGTTCGAAGGCAAAAAATAGCACCTACTTTGCTGTGAATTAAAGGGTGCCAGGGTTTTGACAATACCCACTGAATAACTGATATTGATTCGTTATGTCCAAAGTGGAACTCGAACCCAGCCAAGTTAAGATCTTAGACATTGCTCAATAGTGGCCAAATTTTGGAGTGGTGGTGCGGGTGTCCCAGTCATTCGTGTGCTCTCTTGGATGACCTCCGAACCAGTTTGTAGGGGAGGTTTTTGCTGGAGTTTTTCTTTCATGGAATGGTTTAGCAGCTGTGGAAGGGATTCTTTTCATGGCCTGCAAACAGTGTGCCTTCATCAAGGCTTTCAACGACATCGAATCTGTTGGAATGATGAACCTGCGAACAGAAAATCAAACTATTATCTTATATGTTGATAGAGAGAAAAATTGATGTATATAAGTTTGGTAGAGGCACAGTGAGTTTGAATAGACGTAAGTTTGATAGAGTTAAGTTTGATAGAGACACGTTTGATCGCTGGTAAGTTTGTTGAAGGTGACTTCGGGGGACGTAAGTTTGATAGAGGTAATTTTGAGGTAGAAATTTGAATAAAGGGAAGTTTGAAGGAGTAAATTTAATGTAGATGAGTTTGGTAGAGGTAAATTCGGTAAAGGTAAGTTTGGAGGCCCATGTTATGGCTTTGCAAGGGGGTATATCACCTAAGTCTACTTATACGATAAAAACCTCCATTTTAGCTACCTCAATGACTATTAGTTAGACTGTTAGACCTCAAAACGGCAACAGCCTTTTCCTGAGCTACAGCATCTGCTTCGGTATGGTTCCACGGTGCAGTGATTACATACCTGGTGTTTTTTTTTGCCAAGCATGTGCCCACCAAAAGCCCCAGCATCACTGCGCAACCCTGATGTGAAATAATGTCCAAGATATTTCCGAAAATTGTATCAACAATATTTCTGATTGGTTGCACGAAGCGATGCGCCCCTAAAAAGAAACAAAGTTCTTCATGATTTGCACCCTTTGCAAGTGCAAACGTCTTTCTTGCCAAGCTCTTCCTGCACACGATGGCTGACACGCAAAAAGTGCGACAAACCACCGCTATCTTTGATCACACCGGGCGAGCGACTGCATCGCAATATGCGAGCTGTCTTCACACATGCTGCACAGGTGCCACCTTTCGTGCTCCTTAAACCGCTATTGTCACTGGCATATGCCCATCGAACCTTGTGACGGGCTCGGCCGCATAATTGACATTGCTTTGCCACCAATGGTCCCAACGGTGTGATGCCTGCAGGACAATGCGGCTTCTTGTTGGTACACTGGAGCTTCTTCATCTTGACAAAGACGTGGTCTTGCTTCTTGCGCACTTCTTTGGCCAACTCCGCCGCAGACACCATCACCTTGCAGCGCATCAAATTTCCAAGCCAAGAGACACAACCCAACTTTGGAGAGGATTTACCCAGCAAAGCATCGCTAGGGGCCAAGTCTAACACACACTAGATAAGAATGGATCATTATATGATCCGGCAGGAACTGAATCCTGTAACGTGCAGATTGGATGGGAAACAAATTAATCAACGACGATTCCTACGAATAATGGAAGTTCTCCTGAATGATCACCATGTTCAGAATCGACATCAAAAAGAATAAGGATCAGAAAATAAATGAACCAACGGTAATGTCATCGGCGAAGTCGTCGGCGAGGATTACCCAACCAATACGTCGGCGACGATGTTCCCGGCGACCATGTAAAAACATTTGAAATAAATTGTTCGAAAAATCAGAATGAAGTTCAGATTGTGACAACTGTGCAAATGTATCATGTTCGTCTTTGGGGTTCTGAGCTTGGCCCCTTGCTATTCCGGAAACTTCGGGCTGCAGGTACGCAGAGCTGATCAGGCTCTGTATCCCATACAATCAGGTAGCTTCGTTGGACGTGGTCCCTGATTGTATGCCACGTCCCCCTGCATTAACAAAAATAGGAAAAGGAGGTTTTACATCTATGCAGATGTCACACACACACACCCACACACACTGCGAAGCTTCAAGTTCACTTTCAAGTCCACCAAACAGTGCAGTGTCAGTCAGCTTCTAGTTTTCACTCACGCCAGTCTATCAGTCACAATACAACGTCTCACAGCGTCAGTTGAGTTCCTAGTGCCACTTGAGCCAAACCATAGTTTGGCAGTGCAGTAAATTCAGTGTACTGTGCAGTGGAGTGCAGAGTGACAGTCATATCTAACACTCCCCTCTGAGGATCCACACTTATTACAGTACGTGCAAGTTAAACAGTCCAAGTCTTGAGAAGTACGGACTTCAATACACTTGTGAAAGTCTAAAGTGCTAGTTCCAAGTCTCATGCAGAGACAGCCAACCTAGTCTTCAGCGTTCTCAGTTGAGTGCTTACTCCTATTGCTGACAGTCTGAATTCAGAGCCTCTCAGTGTCATCTCAGCCGGCCTTCGTCACAGTGATCACAGTGTCAGCTGTGGATGACAGCCCAAGTCCGCTGATCTGGATGTCAACCTTGAGATAAGTGCCAGTCTCAGTGATTGGCAAGGCCGCAGTTCCAGTGCCATAGTGATCCCAGGTGAACTTCTTCAGTTCAGCTGGAGTGCTGGCAAGTCCAGCCTTCTCCATTTGGAACTGAGTCAGTGGCAAGTGCACAAAAAGAAAACGACGATGGGCATTGCAGTAGCGAGTGCCATTCAGTTCCTTGGAGAGTGAGTCGGCAAAGTCCGCCAGTGTATAGTCTGGAAGGTCTGAATTGACTCAGTCTCTAAGTCAATCAGTTCGAAGCTCACAGCACCAGTTGCATTCACATAGGAGTGGCTGAAGTATCCTCGGTTGAATTGCTTCAGTCCAGCAACCTTAGTGCGTTCGAGCCACACCGCAGTGACCCTCAGTGGCTCAGTGGAGTACTTCTCTTGCGTATATTTAGCTGTATGTTTGTATTTTTTTTTGGGCCGTCAACGAGAAATCCAACAAAAAGGAAGAGGTGCAAACGAGAATAACAAATATCTTTCACGTCTTTCTTCCTTGAACTTTGCCGCGACATAACAAGAGGGGCTTCACAATAAGCAACCTTGAAGTAGAATGTAGAAGACCAACACAAAGATACGCGACACAATGCTCAACACCAACTTTGAGAAAAATATCTTAAGAGCCTTGGCCACGCTTTTTCCCCCGCTAGCAGACGAGTTTTACAAATATCTTTTGCGTTTTGGTTGAAGCAATTGGGTTAGAAACTGAAACAGCCACCATCCAACAAATCCGACACAGACCTTGGCTGCAACAGCCACAGTTGGAATACCAAGCCGGCTTCAGCTTTGGCAAAGTCATCTTTGGCCCCTCTTTCTTAATATGCAACATGGGCGGCCCACAAGATCCCCACTTGCTGCATTTCAACTTGCGGTGCTTCTGAAACAGCTTTTCGAGCCCCAAAGTTCCAACTATCCGTATTTGGACTAAGCGCAGATTTTTTTCAGCTTGCTTGATTTAAAGGGTCCTTAGCACTACAGAGTGCACGGCTGGCTGATTCTGAGTTAGCGTTCTTGGGCTGAAACAGCTGCAGAAGGAAACGCATTGAAATTGAAATGTGTGAGCTTTTTTTAATCTTCGTTGCACCTGTTATAAATCAATTGCTGTTTGCTGAACTGAGTCTACAGGGTGTCTGCAGGTGCCGCAACGCATGTTTATCCACTTTTCCACTTGTCATTTTTTTGCATCTTACATCCGACTTTGAAGACAGCACCCCGCCGCAGTCTATGTGGCTAAGATCCGGCCCTTTCCAGCTGATCTGACTTTGGTCGATGCCGCGGTGGCATACTTGTGGCCAAAGCAGCCACCAAAAGCCGAAGCAGCTAAGTGGCCGAAGCAGCTGCAGCTACAGTAGCCGAGACAGCTGCTGCCTCTTTGGCGTAGAGATGGTGTGGCCAGTTTTCAGCCACAAGCTTCTGTGAAGTGCTTGAGCCGAGGCTCCTGAAGCGAAGCGGATCTCAGGCATGCTCCTAAGGAGAGGACAATTCGGCCTGTCCTTAGGAGGTTCAAGGACGGTCCCCGAGGCTCATAAGGAGAGGACAACCATGGGACAAAGGCCTTTGAAAAACTCATATTTAAAAGTATTTCAGTTTCGTCCCCTTGTCGTCCTCCCCTTAGGAGGTTCAAGGACAACCCCGAAGCTCCTAAGGAGAGGACATTCCCACCCGTTGATTCGAGGTCCGTTGAATTTTTTTGATGCTCCTAAGGAAAGGACAAAAAACACATTAAGTAGCCAAGCCTGTCTCCAAATCAAAGCTATCGTTGAATCTCCCAATATTTGTGGGTAATCGTCTCTTAGATTCAACCCATTGGTAGATTCCATGTAGCGACCAGAAACCCAAAGTCTTTACCCTGACGCTCCAGCCCACCTCAGCCAATTCCTATTTTTGTGAAAAGTCCATCACGACCTGCTATGTACAAAAACTGACTTAGAAGTATGTAACGCAGCTTCAAAGTGGGAAGTCGGAATAGCATCAAAACAAGCCAAAGCAGCTTTGACAGCCGGAAGCAGCTTGCCTGATGCTGCAAGGGCTTGGCTGAAACAGCTACCGCTAAGGCCGAAGCAGCCTCACTTGAGGTCAACATTTGAAAACACTTCGCAAGCAGGAGCCGAGTGTGACGCAGGGTCGAAACAGCCCTCCTCGCTGCGTGGACATGCTGAGCCTAAGCAGCCGAACAGCCACCGCCCTCCTGAAGCCAATGTCTGACTGCTCCAGAGCCAGCCTTTGTCCTTTGATGCTTTTGGATGCTTTTGGACGGTTTTTTTGCATGTGAATGGGCATTGTTTGCTCAGACGCTTGTCAATCCGCTTTGGCTAAAACCGTGCAGTCAACACCCCACGGCGTGCGCAGCCAAGTTCCCAGCTCTGGGTGATGACATGAAATACGGAACTGTGAGCCCCATTTCAAGCCCAAGACAAGCCACTTGGATCGAAGCAATCTGCCATTGTAAAAGCAGCAATGCTGCTGTCGTGTTTGACAGCTACTGACCCAAATTGCAAAAGAGAAATAAAAATAAACCAGCAATAATTTCAAATACCTCTTCAGCTGCCTCGACGAGAAAAATTGAAAGAGCCAATGGAAAGTGAAAAAATGTACGGATATGTATGAATTTTGCAAAGGAAAGGACCAGGGAAACAAACAACATGTTCCGTACATGTCTTAGATGTCACAAGTTAGGGTTGCAAAGGGTATCCCAAATCAGTCATTGTTGAAGCAAACGAGATTCTCAAATAGCTTAGCCAAACAAAAAAATACAAAAAAATATCTCAGGCCCCAAAAAAATGAAAAATACAAAAATACAGCTAAATATAAGCAAGTTCTGGAAGTTCTCCTGACCTTTCCACAGTTGCAGTGTTGAGTACAGCAAAGCGCCTCGAAGATCAGTCCACAAGTTGCACAGTGAACGATCAAACCACTCAGTTGGGATTTCCCCAGTTGCCAGTGCCAAGTCTGACAGTGTGAGTGGAAGTGACAGGAAGACAGGGTAGTCCACCTGCCTGTCAGTCAGTGAGTGTACTCAGTAGTCACCCGTTGCAGTGGCTGCGAGTACAGTCGCAGTTCTGTCTCTGAGTAGGCGTAGTGGGCAGTACTCAGACCCGGGAACACCGAGTTGGGTGAGAGTACGCCAATCCACACATCATCAGTAGACTCGTAGCCAGTCTTCTGTGCGACCAACAGTCCAAGTCCAAAGGAGTTGCACTTGGTAGTCGCAGTGGGCCGAGTAGTACGGCACAGATACAGTGGGTCCACTGTAGTGCATCGGGCGAGTCACACTTTCCAACAGCCCCAGCTGAGTAACACTACGTTCCAGCTCCCGACTCTTCAGCATCTCAATCACAGTATTGTAGGCGTCAGTGTCTGGAACAGCAGTCAGTGCTACCAGTGCTACCTCAGTATTCTGAATCTCTCCATACTGTGCGACGGCCACGGCGGCAGTCTCATTTTCCATCCTCAGTGTCAGAGAGGAGGTAGTGCAGCGCTACAGTGACGTAGTTTAGTATCTGGTAGTACTCCTTTTCAGTCTCTACCAGTCATTGCAGTCAAACAGCGAGTGGGTTTGACGAGTTGCAGAGTCGAATTCAGTTCCTGTGCCCGAGTACCGTTCAGTACTCAGTTCAAAGAGTCATGCAGATTTGATTTCTTGAAATTCAGTAAAAGTAAAACTCAGTGAACTCTTGGCCAAATTCAGTGCAAAGACGAAGTGAGAGTGCTGAGTTGCAGCTACAGTTCAGCGGCAGTTCAGCAGCAGTCTCCCCTTTGAAAACTTAGTCTACCAAAGTGAGTTTCCGCAGTGTCTTGGTGAAACCGTGCCTGTATAGTTCGAGGTTACAAATCAAAACAACGAAAACAGTTTCAACACATAACCTACCTAAGTGTGATTTCAAAGTTTCAGTGTCCAGGTATTTAGTAAAGGGGTCGGCGCAGTTTTCAGTAGTATGTATTTGGAGGTCTCCCCCCGAAAACAAGTCTTGCATGTACAAAAATCTCAGTTCAACGTGCTTGGTTTTCTTTCCAGAACCAAACCTAGTTGCCATGCTCTTTCCTGCTGTGCTGCCAGTGTAAATGTGGAGTTTTGACTTTCTTTGCCAGTTCGGCGTCGAGAATCAAGTTTCTTACGTACAGTGTTTCGGAAATTCCTTGTCCTATCGCGTACAGCTTGGCTTCTCCTGAGGAGAGCGCGATAGTACCCTGAGTTCTTGCGCAAGAGTCTACAGGACAATTGAGGAGTTTGACAACAACGCCTGAAGTTGATTTTCGTGTCCGCTGGCAACCAGCCCAGTCACTGTCCACAAAACAGTCCAAATCAAAAGTGCATTTGTTGCTACTAAGAGTGATCCCCGCACGAAGTCGGTGCACATAGTCCTTAGTTCCAGCAAGGTACCTCAGTAAGTGTTTCAGTTTCAGTAAACTTCGGTTTGTCGGTGCAGTCAGGTCTCTTGAAAGTTCCTTAGTCGCATAGGACGTGGCTTGTCTGATCAAAGCTAACCACAACAGTTTTCCAACAGCAGTGCGATAAACTTTGTGTTCGTCAGCGCTTAGTGGATCACCCAAGACCAGTCGGTGTGAAAAGCTAGTGGTACCCATGGTTCCTACCGCTTTAGCCTTGACCATGTTGTACAAGTCCAGCGTCTTAGTGATGTAGTCTTGCGGCATGCAAATGTCTACGCTGTCGCCATTATGTCGCAAAACGCGCCCAAGAAAATTTACTGACTTACCAGGCTTCAGTTCAGCTTCAATTTTGAGTAAAACTTCCTTTTCCAAGTCTTTGGTGAATTGCACGGCAAATTGGTGCTTTCCACAAACCAAAAGGTCATCTACGTAGCAAAGGACATACAAATCGCCAGAGGGATGACAGTACAAGTTCGGATCAGCTTTGCAGCGTCTCATTCCGAGTTTCAGCATCGTTGAACAAAAGTGTTGTTGCCACAGTGCTGGCGCTTGCTTCAAACCATACATTGCTCGTTTCAGTCTCCAGAGGCAGTTCTGCCCAGGATAGTACTCTTTTGGTGGAATCAGCATTAATTACACGGTCCATCATGAGTGCATGAAGAAACGCAGTGCTCATGTCACAAGTAAAACATGACCATGCTCTAGACAACATCATAACAAGTAGTAGTACTCTGAGTGTCACCAATGTAGGTGTACATGCGAACAGTGTCTTGATCCATGTTTTCTTGAAAGCATCCGCGAGCAGTGAGTCTGCATCTGACAGTGTTTGCAGTCTTCCAGCGTTTCACCCATTTGCAGTCAAGTGCTGAGTCAATGTCTTCTTGCGAACACTGTTCTATTGGAACTTCTTCATACACATCAAATTCTTTCATGCTTTTCATTTCCTTTTGCATTCCTTCGATGACAAGTTCATCAGGAAATATTGGTTCAGTTCTCAGCAGTTGAGGTTCATTCAGTTTGATCCGTCTGTTTCTCTTCTGTGTCTTCGTTTACTGCGACGGGGACCTCAGTTCCGTCTTTCAAAGTGACAGAGAAAATTCCGATTGCAGCTATAGTGAGTCGTTTGCCATCCGGAAGCAAGTCTTCAGGAAGTTCTTGATTTTCAGCAGTTCGTTTTTCGTTTCGAACTCTCGTTTCTGGTGGAAGTCTCGTTTCAGTTTCAGTCGTTTCAAGCGTTTCAAGTTTCAAGTCGTCTTGCGTTTCAGTGACAGTCTCATGAGTCTCTTCCATTGGTAAATCCTCAGTACCCGTTTGAGTTTCACGTTCGAGTCCTGGTGGTTCACGGACTCTTCCAGTGGAAGTCAAAGTTGGAGGCAAAACAAATGAAGTGTCAATCACCTGTTTCGCTTTTGGATCCCAAGGAGTCGCCTGAAGTTTCAGAAACAGTTCCTGATCCCATTGTTTGGATGGGACCTGTCGCTTGATAGTTCTCACCTTAATGATGCCAGTTCCAGTGGACACAATGTGCTCATCAGCCTCAGTGTCACGTCCTAACCAAATGCCAGTGCTCCATGCAGTGTCTCCTTTTTCTTTCAGTTTTCCAGAATAACGAAACAGAACAGTTTCTCCGAACTCACACACAGTCGAGCTATAGTTCTTTCCCCAACGTCGAAAGTATGAGGTGTTTCCATAAGAGTGAGTGAGAAAACGGTTCAAAGTAAACTGAGGGTGTTTCACAATCCATGGATAAACAGCATGTTGCACGGAAATTTGCACATTGTATCGCTCCTGCAGTTGCGGTCTGATTGCTCTTGCTTGACCGTAAAAGTTTTGTTGAGACTTACCTACAAAACCATGTGCCTGTTTCCAGTCACGTGGAGTTGCTCTCATGGACATTCCGCCAAGTTCAGTCAGCGTTTCTGAAACCAAAGCCTTCAGTGAAGGTTCTGGGTCGTATTGAATGATACCATAAGTTCTTCCAATCTCAAAAGCAAAACGTTTCAGTTCAGTAATACAGTGCTGGTCTCTACCTTTGCTAGGAGTCACAACAGCAGAACCGAATCCAGTTTGGATGTCTACAGCAGTAAGAACAGTCGCGGTTGGGCATCCATCACCGGTTGTCAGAAAACAGTCAGTAGTCAACTTGGATGACCGGTTGTCTGTCCAAGTTTCTTCTGGATGGAGTTTCTTTACCTTTTGCTTTGACAAAAAATTCACACCAGCTACTGTATGGTAAGTATGTCAAGTTGTGAAGTTCTCGTTCTTGCTGTGTCGGTTCCAGTGGAGAAGTCAGTGCCTTAGGCTTACGCCTTACGCGCAGTGACATCAAACGTCTCCTGTTCCTGAGTGAAGTTCTCCAGTGGTGCAGGCTCAAAGATGGTGTATCCGATCCAACTATGGCCTACATCAAGTCCTACTTCATATTGGTCAGTTTTCTGATCTTCTTCTCTCCACCAGTTGCAGCAAGACATTCCATCACTCTTGGGTCTGGCCGGTGATTTCACAAAAACAGTCCAACGCAATGAACCAAGTTGGTCCTCAGTTGGTCCTCCGTCAGTGAAGTCAGGCTCATACAGCGTGTTTCTTAATTGATAATGGAATCTGGCCCATGCAATTGGAAGTTGAAACCAGTAGTCACCAGTCCTTTGTTCACCAGTCGTTGGGATCTGGGTCAAATAAAAGTTCAGTTAGCTTCACCCTAAGGTAACTAGAGTTCCAGGCAGTACATGACAGCAGTTCGGCCGTCAGTTTCTTGCCGATCACGTCTTCATTCAGTGAGCAGCGTAGTTCCTCAGCGTGTCGCTTTCGTGACTTCCGTGAAGTGTCCTCAGTGACTTCAGTGTCTTGAACCTGTTCAGTGTTCACAGCCTCAGAGGCTGGAGTTGGAATTTGGAGGTGGTCCTTTAGTCAAATACCTACGACTAGGAGGAGGTGAGTTGAGGAGAAAAACAGTTCTACCTTTCCAAAACTCATCCTGTCTAGTATTTGGTTCTGGCAGGTCCTTGAAGTCAAAGTCCACGATCTTGTCTTTCTTACTTACCTTGTCCATAGTCCAAGTAAGTGGTTCGAACTCCTGAGAGTTGGTTCAGTTCAACAGGACATCCAGGACAAGGAGTAAACAGACTTCTTCTTGGTCGTTTCTGAATTCTCACCAATTTGTAGTTTGCTCCAATTTGTTTCAAGTTCCAATGAGAGATTCCAATTTCTCAAGTGGATCATCTTGAGTCACGACAGTACTCTCTTCGGTAGTGACATGACTCAACTCAGTGGAAAGTTCTCTCATGTGTTCTTCGAAGTGCGCAGTGAGTTCTGGTGGAACATTGGAGAATGGTTCGAGTGATGGTGTCAGGTACAGCAAAGTGCCGTGTCCAGTGATTGAAATTTTCTCGCCTTCAGGAGTCAGTAACATCAAACAGTCCTTTCCAAGAATAGTCAAACAACCTTGCAAAACCATTCTTGCAACAGAAACCAAACAAAAAGGAACATCGCACACCTAATAGCTGACATTCAAGTATACACCGTCACAGTTGTACCGAACTAGTCTACGTCCGTATAATTGCAGTGGTTTCCCAGTCACACTTCTCAACTTGAGAAGATTCTCACCTAGTGGAAGGAGAGGGTAGTCAGAGGCATAGTTCGCAGTACGACAGTGAGCAGCAGCTCCAGAGTCAAACAGGACCCAATGCTCTTGAAGTGAGAGTGAGGCTAAACAAGTCTCGTGAAACAAATCCAGGGCATCTGAAACATTTGAGGATTGAGAGTCCAGTGGCAGTCCTTCAGATCTACCAAACATGCTCAAAACAGCAACAGTACCCAAAAGTGCTCCGGCAGTACCTAACTTCGAAGTTCTTCGAACAGTACTCTTGTTGGTCAAAGTCGAGCCAGTGCTTTGCAGGCTCTCTGGGTCAAAACTAACTGCAGAAACAGTAGCAGTGGGCGCAGACGGTTGAGCACCCGAAGCTAAGTTCTGCGTGGCCGGCTGTGAAACTAAGTTCGCGTCGTTGGATCCAGTTGGGTGTCCGACAGTCTGAGTGTCTGGCGAATTCTGTTCATGCCAGTA